CCCCCCCCCCCCCCCCCCGGGCCCGTCGCGCCAGCTGCCGAGCGCCGGAAGCACCGGAGAGGAGCCGGTTACGCTCTCCTGGGCTTTGCTGCTGAGAGCAACAAACATGTTTGTGCCAAAAAAAAAAATAAAAAAAAGAAGAAATAAATAAAGGAAAGAAAGAAAGGAAGGGAAAAAAAAGGAAAGAAAGTAAATAAAGGAAGAAAGGAAGAAAGAAAAAGGCTGCTTGCACAGGGTGACAGTAACTGCAGCCACCCCACCATAACCCCCCACCGTGGCTGCATGGGGGCTGTGTGGAGCCACCATGTGTCCCCCACCCTGCCCTGGTGGTGGGACCTGGGAGGGAGCAAAACATTCCTGACCACAGCGTGAGCTTCTGGAGGGGCTGGCAGCCTGTGGCAGGGCTCTGCAGTGTTCCAGGGACTGCCTGGTGGTAGGGGTGAAGCAGGCAGGGCCATGGGTGCCAGCAGATGTGAGCCCTAAACCTGCCATGTAGGGAATTTGTTGCCCAAGAGATCTTCTGGAGTCTCTCACCCACTGGCTGCTCTGCAACACCAGACTTCCCCTGGCCCTGGGCAGCTGTAACAGCCAAGGAGGACATGAGGCCCCCGGGAAGAAAACCAAAATCTGGGTTCACAGCGTTCACACACCTGGGGCACAATGTCCATCACTGCCTGATGGGACAGGGGTTGGAGCAGCCGTGAGACATGGGGCAGAGGAGCTTGCCTGGCCAGAATCACACCTTGCCTCAGCCCCGACTGAAGATGCCCATTAAACTAGAATAAAAACTATCACCTAAACCCCCCAAAATGGGACTGCACATGGATCTCTGCAATGGTTTTCATGCAGCCCTGCAAGAGGCTCTTTTTAGGCCAAACCGATTCACTCTCTGCATTGACAAACCGGACGGAAATGTCAAAAAAAAAAACCCCTACTGGTGAGGTTTGCAGGAGGCAAGGGAAGAGCAAAGTAAAAAATAACTGAGCAGGGGCACAGTCAGAAGTTGTTAGAATTGAGCAGCACGTGCACTGATGGCAGTAGGTAGAAGGAACTTTGGCAGAGAGGGAATTGGTTGGCAATCTCTTTCCAAACTGACGTTGAGCTGTTTCAAGAGTTTCACTGGGAAAAGAAAAACACACAGAAATGGCTGGAGTGAGTTCGTCTGCCTGCCCAGGCAGCCCCATCCCAGAAGGCTGCCCTGTCCACCCTTCGATGGCCCAGTGCCTGTGTCTGTTCCTTAGGGTCACTGAGCTGGGGACATCATGCTCCCTGTACCAGTGAGAAATTCAGCAAGGAAATCCAGGTGATTGGATTGACATGACATCACCATTGGTGATGTCTATATATGGTCCATTTGGCAGTCAATGCAGCTCTGACCTTGGACAACATCCCTCTGCTTTGCTAGAGGATACAGTGAGCAGCTCATTGCTGGGGGTGGAGGCCACCACATGCACGGCTGCTTCCACGTGGTGCTGGGCCAGCTGCCTCCTGAGCTCTCCTGGGGACACATGAAATGTCTGAACATCATTTTGGGTATGTGAACAGGTTGTTCCTGACCCAGAGACTGCACTGGAGATAGGACCCAGAGCTGCCAGCCTCCTCGGTGCCATAGGACCGTCCCCAGCGGTGGTGGCTGCCATAACAGGGGTCAAAAGTGAACAGGGTACAGGCAACCATGTTCTTACAGCAAAGCTGAGGAGCCTTTTCTGGGGCAGCCAGAGAGAGCTTTAGTCCCTGGGGTGCTGCTGAGGGACTTTCCCCTGTGCACTGGGGGGGTGCGGTGTGTCTTGCTCCCACAACAAGCCAGCCCCTGGTCAGGAAGGGACTGTTTAATGCTAAACCACATGTCACAGCAAGATGAAGATGTACTTCCCTGGGGAGGCAGCTGGGAGAGACATCGCCCAAGATATCGGGGCAGGGGGGTTGTGTGTGTGTGTGTGTGGCTGGTGCCATGGGGCACTGTGGGGAAGGAGCTGAGCCCTTCCAAAACAGGGTCCTCCAGCAGAGCCCAGCTGGGTTCCCGGGGGCCAAGGGCCTGCATGGGAGGGTCATGGGTGCCTTCCTGGCAGGGAAGTGGGGGGAGGTGACACTTCCTCTTTTGCTGGCCAAGTACGGACAGGGGGGGCATGACATCGTGGGTGTCCCAAGCTGGTTTCCTTCTGCCAGCAGCAGCCACCTGCTGCCTGCACTGCCTCTCAAAAAAGGAGGAAATCAGCAGATCTGGTTTGCTTGGGCTCAGACAAAGAGGTCTGAAAGTCTCCAAGTGATGATGAACTTACCACATCCCTCCACCATTGGTTCATTTTACCTACCGGCAAAAGAGGCTACAGGAATTTCTACCCCAGCCTTTGGTCCCGGATGGCTGGTCCTGCTCTGCTTGGCACGTACAGGTGATGGCTCCCAGAGGCTTGTTGGGTTCTCAGCGCTCCCGAGGGCGCTCTCCACACCCTGCCACCACTCAGCATCAGCCGGGGACCTGCCAGTGCAGGTGCTGGGTGCTGCTGCTCCTGGGTGCTGCTGCTCCTGGGTGCAGCTCCCTGACCTGCTGCATTCCCCAACCCAAACTGTTCCCATCTCTGCCCTCCTTGCCCTTGTCTCAGGGCACCCAGATGCAGGTTGGACACGCACAGCATCCCCAGGGGTGCAAGGCAGCTTTTGTTCTGTGTTGAGCACCGAGGGTGCATCTCCACTGCCCTCCCTGGACCCAGGCTCCCTACAGGACATGGGCTGTTGCTTTTCCAGTAACTCTCCCAGTATCAGCGAGCACAGGGGACCAGGAGCCAGGGGCTCGGGGGGCTCAGCACCACTGGGCCTGGCCCAGGGGCAGGGGGCAGGGCCCTTGTCGGGTGGTGCAGCCCAGACACTGCAAAAGCGCTGATACTTCTTATCGTGCCTTGCAGCAACTTCCCCTCCTCGCCTGCGGTCGCGGCGCTCCTGCACGCAGGGGAAGTGGCGGCCGGGCCGGTGCCCTCGGCCTGCGCCACGTTTCAAGGAGATGGAGTCCCACCAGTGCCCTGGCCTGTGGGCCCAGCGCTGTGCCTGGGACAAGCACCGGCCTGATCATGCCCACCTGGCTCCCAGCCGCCCAGCACCCCAAGGCCTGAGAGCTGTGCTGGGGGAGGTGAAGGAGCTGGTCTCACCCACAGCCTTCCTTACTCCCCTCCACTGCCCTGGGGCCAGTGGGAAAGAGGGTCTGCAAGGTCTGCAGCCCCAGTGGCACTGGCGGCCAGTAGCACCTGCTGGCATCCTGCCAGACCTCAGCACAGCCACGATGCCTCAGTGGTGTCACTGTTGATGCTGAAGCCTAATGGCTGCTCTCCCAACACACCCCCCCTCCAAGCACAGGGGACAGAGGCGCAGGGATGGGCACGGTGCGAAAAAGACCCCTAGGACAGAGGGCCCTGACATGGGGATGCTCCTGGCAAGCACGGGGGCCTCTGCTGCTGCTGCACCAAAAAGGTCAGGCCCACCAAAACTAGCTCCTGAGAGGTTTTAGGGTGAGCAGTGTTGCTTGCCCTGTCCTGCCAGGCACAGGGGGGTACAAGCAGGACCTGCAGGACACGGTGGCACAGCTGAGCACCCGATGGAGAGAGGCTGGGCTGGGAGAGGAGACACCCCAGGCTGACACTCATGGGGATAAGCCCCATGTCACCCCCAGGCACCAAGGTGCTGCACTGCAGGAGATGCCGGGGCGCTGCACGTGGCCTGACCCCCTGCCCAGCCCTGCCTGTCCCCGGGAGGTGCTGCAGCCGGGCCGGGGCCGTTAAACGTGAGTCAACCAGAAACTGCCGCGCGCAGGCGGGAGGCAAATGAGAGCGCAGAAGGGAAACCTCAAAAAGCCGAAGTGACGCGGGGGGTGAAGCGGCCGCTTCGCTTTGCCCAAATATAGACACGCAGGGCCCGGCCGCGCGCGGCGCCTCCCGTGTCACTTCCCGCGTCACCTGCGGCAACGGCCCCGCAGGTGGGGGGGGCAGAGCCCCAGCGCCCCGGAGGGGCCCTCCCCGCCGCACAGGTGGGCGAGTCCTGCTTTCCCCTTTATTGCCTTAATCCCAGGGTTGTGCAGCCCCGCGGGTCTGTTCGGGACGGAGCTGGTCGGGGACAGAGCCCAGCAGGGACACGGGGAGGGAGGGGTGAGCACAGCCCGTGGGCCCAGGATGCACTCAGGACAGGCAGAGCTTAGCGCTGTGGTGACAGCCCCTCCTTTCCCAGGAGTCTCTGACCCCTCAGGAGAAGGTTCGGCGAGATCTGAGCATTTCTGAGGCCCAGAGACCCCAAGGAGAGGCACAGGCACACGGGGCTGCCAGGAAGCATCTCCCCAAACCTGGAATGGATGGCACCTTCCTGGGCCTGGTGGTGCTGGACGAGCAGCACCAAAGCCCCAGCCTGGCCAGGGAGCCAGATCCCGCAGCCCTCAGGGCGTGCTGGCACCTCTGCCATGTGCCTCAGCTGTCTGGGGGCACCAGAGGAGGTACAACATCCTTGCCCAACATGTGTCCCAGGGCTCTGGATATTCAGCTGCTCTTCTGCAGCTTCTTACCCAGAAGAACCATACCCCCAGGGGCAAAATGCTCCTTCCAGTCCAGTGCCTGCTTGGGGCAGAGCCTGGGTGAGCCAGGAAGAGGAAGGACAAGTGCAGCAGGGGGTCGAGGAGAGCTGGGGGTGGGGTAGATACCACCAGGTTCTCCACTCTCCTGTGACTTCAGCTGTGGTCTCACTTTGCCATTAGCCTTAAGGAAATGTGCCCTCAGCCACCTCGACCACCAGGGTGAGCCCCCACTGTGCCCCACCAGCCCTTAGGGTCTCCCCTTCCCAGGAAGCAAAGCTGCAGGAGCAGACCAGGGAGGTGAGAGGTCTCAGCCAAGAGCTTGTGACCAACTCCCTGCTACCAAAACCCCAACTGTGTTGGCAGATCAGTGAGTTTAGAGGTGTCTACCTCGGTGCAGCTTGGGGCCTCTTTGCACACAGCACTGAGCTTCCAAGGAGCAGCAGTCTCATCTCCACATACCCTTTGCAGGCCAATCAGCCTGTCTGTCCTTCACAGAGCCACCTCCTTCCACTGCAGTTTCTGAGCAGTGAACTCCCTGAGGACCCATCATACATCAGAGCTTCTCATTTTCCCTGCAAATCCCCTCAGCAGGGAACATGTCCCAGTTCCTCACCCACCCAGCCTCCATCACCAGCACACTAGGAACCCCTTGGGACAGCACTCATGGCAGCCATGCCTTGTTTCTGCCACTTTTTGAAAGCTGCTTGCACCTCCAAAACCTGCACCCATCCCTGCTGCAGCTGGTCCAAATGGCAGCTGCCAAAAGCTGGCCATGGGCTCCCTCCTCTCCCCACCACATCAGACACATTCAAGTGCCTTGGTGGTTTCTGCTCACAGGATGTGAACCAGAGGTGCTGGGCAGGATGGGCCACACATTAAGTGCAGTGTCCACAGCTTTGCCATCCTTGGTCCAGCTGTTTCAGCCCAGCCCTGGGCAGACAGGACAGGTACCAGGAGGACAACCCAGGTTATCTTCCCCCACACCTCCATCCTGCCCACGTCTCCTCAGCCAGTTTCCAAGGAAAACAGTTTTAGGCTGGGATTTGGTTTGGGGATTTTTCCCCACCCCCCAGCACCTACCCCCAAGTGTCTCCACACCCCTGTGGTAACCAGCCATCCCCCGGGACAGCTGGGAGGAATCTGGGAAAGGCTGAGTTTGTGTGCTGGAAGGCAGCCTGTGAAAGCAGATTTTGGGTGAAGTAGGTCCCAGGCACCTCTGCCTGCTGGCCTTGGCACCAGCAAAGAGGTGACAACAGGGGAGGATGCCAGTTTGCAGAGCACCCACAGGAGCAAAACCAGGGGGTCACCCTGCCTCAGCCACAGTCCCCCCAGGCTGGAACCCAATGTGCTCAAACATGTTCCCCTCCATCTGAAGCCCTGCTTGCCCAAGTTGCAAGACAAAGGCCAAGGTGAGCCATTCCGTGGGTGGTGGGGACCAGTGCTCGTGGGTAGGTCCTTGTCCCTGTCCTGTCCTGCAGAGGGACCCCACGCAGGTGGGGATGGCTCAGCACAGCGTTTCCCAGCAGCAACGGCAGCTGCTTCACAGAGAAACACCGGCTGTTCCACGGATTTGGAAAGTCACTTTTCTTCCCCCGAGGGAGAGCCGGGGGGTATCGGTTCTCAAAACCCACACAAAGAAATCCACTGGCAGGTGCTTCCTGCCTGCGCTGCCAGGGCTGCCCTGCACCCCCCTGCCCTGCACCCCCCCTGCCCCAGAGTGCCCAGGCTGCTCCGGGTGCCAAACCTGCAGGATTTCCAGGCCCGGGTGCAATATTTCAGTGTCATTTGGTAATCCACTGCCTCGTGCTCCCTGCCTGCGCTGCCAGGGCGCCCTGCCACCCCCCTGCCCTGCAACCCCCTGCCCCAGAGTGCCCAGGCTGCTCCGGGTGCCAAACCTGCAGGATTTCCAGGCCCGGGTGCAATATTTCAGTGTCATTTGGTGCAGGGGGAGGAGATGTCTTAAATTGACTCAGATCTACAGCTCCCTGCCTGCTTGACGCTTTCTCTCCCCATTACAGCCTGGGCTGCCACCACACATTTTTTTCCAATTTCTTCAACATGAGAGCACCCTGCCCTACTTTTCTCAGCAAATAAAGCTCTGCATCAATTTGCTTTTAGCTGCTACAAAACCCTGGCAGCTCCAGGACTGGAGTCAAACCAACACGCTCACTTCAGGTGCATTGCAGAGATCCAAGGCTCCTCTAGGCAGCCTGTGAGCAATGAGTCACTTGGGCAGCGTGGGCTGGGAGGTTCACTGCGGGTGTGTGCGAGTGAGCAAGCTGGCAGGGAGGAGGCTCACAGAGCCAGCCCCATCAGAGGCACCAGCTTTTGGAAGCACCAGTAGCTGCTGCAGGCAGAGGAGGTGCAGCTCCCTCTGGAAGGCCACCAGCATTCAGCTCGGTTGCCCCACTCATTGCCCTGGCTCTATCGCACCTGCACTCAAGCCCCTGCCTTAACACTATATAATCTGGAGCAATTGTGCTTCCTAGCAAGGGGTGAGGTTTCTGTGGGGTTTACAAGCCCATTCAACTTCCAGAGGGGCACTATGACAACCCACACTGCTCCCTGGGGACAATTTCCTAAACAGATTTCCCAGTCCTGGGCAGTGACCACGTTACTGCAGCTTCCTGGGAAGGGAGAGGTGACCCACTGAGACCCACACCCGGAGCCCAGCTGAACAAACCCACCCTGCCCAGGGTCCAGTGCTGGGCCATCTTGTCACCTCTTCTGCACCATGGGGCCAGGGATCAAGGTGGCCTGGGACTGGGGAAGGGATCCTGATCTCCAGCACTGGAGCAGTTCTAGCACGGCCATCCCCACCCCTGGAGCCAGGGAAGTGGGACACAACCCGGCAAACTACGGAGCCAAAGGCACTGCGAGATACAGAAGGAAATGGAGCTGTATCCGAGGCGTCTCTTGCTCAGGTCCAGCCCCAGCAGCTTCACCCCAGCTCGTGGCCAGGCTCCAGCGCTCCTCCACAAAGTCATGCTGCCACCCCGTGGCACTTGGAGGGGGAGGCTTTGAGCCAAGGTGATCCCAGCTCATCCCATGCCACTCGGGGCACGGCCAGTCCAAAACTGCCCTTCAGAGCCCAGAGGTTTGTGTCTAAAACGTCTAAGCCTGAACATCTTGTGCAGTCGTGCCCTGGGCTGCCAGGACAATCGCACTTCTCCCATCGAGGCCCTTTCCAAGGTGCAGCTCCTGCGCAGTCTCTGCAACCAAACAAGTCCAGAGGATAATTATCAGGTAACTCAAGTCCTTTGGACGTTCATCAGGGATGTCTGAAAAATCAGTCAACTCCCTCTGCCCAAGGACATGAACCTGCTGCTCCAACTTCCCCAGAGTTGGCTCTGACCCCTGGCCAGGGGCTGAAGCACTCAGCTCTTCACACAAAAGGCAGTCTGGACCTGGGGGCACCTGGTACAGCCCAGCCCACTGCCAACTTGACTCTGTCCTTGTCTGCACGGAGCAGATGCTCTTGACTTCAGAAACACGTCTCCAAGTCCCCGAGATGGTTTAAGACATATTCCTCTGCAGTGTTTCAGCTTGACCAACGCTGTGGCTCCCTCTGTGCTCACAGCAGTCTTCTGCAGCCACAGGTCTGCTCCAAACCCCCACAGGAAGCCATGCTCTGCCTGACCTGTAGCACCCGGGACTCTTTTTTGGGGCCAGCTCTGCAAATCAGAGCAGGACAGAGCACATGTCACCTCCACACTCCCAACAGCATCACATTCCCTTTGCTGCAGCCACTTCTATCTCAGAACAAAGGCAGGTTTGGGGCTGCATTGGTTTTTCATTATTTGTCCACAGAAAACAAAAATTGAGCTTTTCAGCTACAGAGTCATCTCAGAAAAGCAAAACAAAACAAACAAAAAACCAAACAACCCAAAAAACTCACAAAAAACTAATAAAATACATATTTCACAGAGCTACTGATCTAGAATTCTGCTCCTGGACAAGGCACCTTTTGATTGGTGACTGCGTAGGCAAGAGCCATCAGCTATGGAGGCCAAACCTCTCAGGAGCCCAAGCAGACAGTGCCTAAGCTGACACAATGTGCTCAGTGACCCCTACAAACACCAGGCTAGGTGGGCGTTTCCACCCCTGCTTGTCCATCCCTCCCCTCTGCAAGGCCCAGAACTGCCTCTCAACCACACCAGCAATGGGATCATCTCGCTCTGCCTGCCCTGGAGGCCAGAAATGGCCATAGGAATGTCCCTCAAGTCTGCTTCCAAATCCCTCATACAGAACACTGCAGACCCATGGCACTGTGGCCTTCAGATAACTACCTACCTCTGCATGAAATACTCCAGCCATGAGCCCATGGGACCTGCTTGTGCCTTCAGCACTGCAATTCAGCCACGGCAGGATCACAGAATGTCAGGGGTTGGAAAGGACCTTGAAAGATCATCCAGTCCAAGCCCCTGCCAGAGCAGGATCCCCTAGAGCACCTCACACAGGAACGTGTCCAGACAGGTTTGGAATGTCTTCAGAGACTCCACAACCTCTCTGGGCAGCCTGTTCCAGGGCTCTGTCACCCTCACAGTAGTTTTCCCTCACATTTATGTGGAACCTCCTGTGCTCATTTACACCCGCTGACCTCCCTCTCGAGGCAGGAATGTGGTCCATGGCTTAGGAAGTGATAGAATTGCATGCTCCAAAGGCTGAATGCAACCCCCCCCCCACAGCCCACCCACTCCCTGCAGCCCATGGAATTAGTGACTGAGCAGAGAGACTTGATTCTGCCAAGACTGTATGTTTTATTGAAGTACTAACACAGCTACATCCCAGCTCTCCTCCACACCAACAAGAAAAAATCTCATGCATCACCATTAAATATCCCTTTTCCCACACCCACTCACACCCTTCCCCTTGTCAAGGCTCTAAAAAATTACTATGGTCTGTGTGGGCTGAAGTGGTATGGCAGAGTCCAAGAGGTACTAAGAGTCCTTCCCATATGCTAAAGCTAAAAGGTTTTGGAGCAGCACCCCATGGGCCTGCTGACCCCTGAATGCAGCACAGGGGAATCCTGCAGACACCCTCAAGTTTTTATAGCTGTGTCTCGGGACTTGTAAGCCACACCACGGCTCTTCAGCTCTCGGACGATCCCTGCAGCAAGGAGACAAACAATGTCAGTATTCTCTAGGCATAAAAAGCCTTGAAAAAAAGTTGGTTGCTCTGCATCTAGTCTTCTTTGCAGAGATCAAGAACTGGACAAACTTCATTTCTTCTAATAGAACTGTTAAGAGTGTTCTTTTCGTTTAAATGCCCAGTTAGAGCTCCCAAATAACTTGTTCTGCCTTGGGAAAGAACCACATACATATTTTATTTACATTATTTCCTACCTGAAAATGTTTTAATATTATGACTCTATTGATCAGGTCAAGATCTTAACAGCACTTTTAAAAAAGCTTGCAGTCACTTCTGTTACTTGCATGTCCCACCTTCTCAGTAACCCATTAAGAACAGGGACAGGAGAAGAGCACCATGGCACAGTGTGGCTCTCACCACTGCCACACAGCAAGGGACAACGAGATGACAGAGTGCAGTCAAACTGCTGGTTACTGCACTCCCTGATCCTCTTGCTCCTCCCTCTGATGTGAGCAGGGGCTGAGCAAGGCCCAAGACTCTGCCTGCTGCCCTATGCTCCCTGCATGCAGCTGCACCAAGCTCACTCCATCACCTGCTGCACTCCAGCTATTCCTCATGGGCCCAATGCTGTGCCAGCAGTGTTGGCTTCAAGCTTCATGATGTTCCAGCTCCTTCCCAACACAAATGGCAGAGCTCAGGTCAGAAATAAGGAGCCTGGGATTCCAGACACAAGCACCCTGTGGTAGGGGATGGCAGCACTTGGGGAAAGGGCACAGGTGAGGAATCTGCTCCAGGGCTACGCAGAGGGCAGGGCTCTCAGCTGGACAGATGATGCACTTTCTGCATTAGAGACAAGGCCAACCCTCCACAGTCTTCACTCCACTTGCAGAACCAAAGCCCATCTCCAAGTAAGCCCTCAATGCAGTGTGATAAGGGACAGGGGTATCTGCTCCCCAGGTCTCCCCTAGCAGCACCCCATCCTGCAAAACTCTTTTCTAAGGATGAACCTTCATGTTCTCCTGTGCTGGACAGTTTGAAATGTGCCCACTCTCTGGAGTCACCCCTTAATCAGTTAAGAGCCTGCCTGGTACCACAGGTTTCAGTCAGCAGCATCTTCAATACCAACCCCTGGCGGGCACAGTGCTACTTGACTGCAGGGAGAAACCCCCCTGCAGAACCCTGACACCACCCTCCCGACCAGCACCTCCTTGCAGCCCCCTTGCTAACCCCTCCCCTGGGGCGCCGTGTGCTCTGCTCACAGCACAGTGCTCACTGAACCCCTCAATCCTGGCTTCATCACACAGGTACAGCACAAAGCACCACCCCGTGCGTCACCTCGGGGAAGGCTACAGCCCCAACCCCCAAGGTGCAGACCAACCCCTGGGCTGCCCAGGAGGGCCCCCCAGGCGGGGCAGCGTTACCTTGGGGCAGCCGGCCGGTCACAGACACTGCGTAGACACCGGGCTTGAAGCTGCCTGCGGAATGAACACAGAGTCAAATGTCTCTGCCAGCCCCTGCCTGTTGAGATGCCCCCTCACAGGAAGCAGAAAACCCCTCCACAGCCCACGCAGCAACCTCTGCTGCCCCCGAGGAGGCAGGGGGAGAAAGGTCTCCCAAACCAGCTGTTAAAAACCACTCACTGATCCGCTGCCACTTGGAGACCCAGCTGTCCTCGGGGCTCATCATCGCGATGATCCTGTGGGGGGCACGGAGGGGAGGGGTGGGTTCCCAGGCAGGGGACACCGCGGGGCCCCCAGGGCACCCCCAGGCACCCCCAGCCCCGCTCACCCGTCGAAGGAGGAGCTGGTGCAGTCATAGACCATCTCCCGGTTGCCCTTCATCTGCAGGTAGGCATCGCAGTTGTCGCAGCCGTCGTACTCGAACTGGTCGATGGTCTGAGGGGGACACAGAAATGTCAGCG